TCCGCCTCCGATTGACGTAGCTGCCCTTGTCTTGGCAGCTGCTTGGCGCACAGATTCTTGAATCTGCTTCCTACTTCTGGGACTGAGGTTCGAGAGCTGGTCAACCGGTCATCAAGTCGACAAACGTACATGTGTCAGATGCCAGGCATCCAGTTAACTGGAATTTTATGTTAGTGGCCAGACACGTTTTTCTTTTTTTGAGTTTGCCTTAAAGTGCGAATTTGAATGTTTTGCGTATATACAAAAAAAAAATTCGTCAAATAAAAAATTAATCACACAAATCGGAAATTAGAGTTGACAATTTATATATTGACAGGTGATGCAGAAAGTTCAACGATTGCATAACAATGAGCGGGAGCACTTTGCAGATCAAAGCAGCTGCAGCTAATGGTTAGCGAATGGAAATTGAAAAATCAACATTTAAATACAGCTCGCCTCTGAAAACATATTAAAGCATTGACAACAGAAAGCGACCGTGGATCGCCCATAGGGCCTTCGCTGCTCTCCACTATTGCCATAAATTAAACCAAGTCTCTGACTTTGGGGAGAGCAGCAGTGTGAAAGGGAGACCAACTTATGCAACTCATGCATAAGTGTGTGTGAACGTGTGTGTGCCTGTATCAGTCTGTTTTTATGGTTATGCATTTCTTTTAGAGTCCACAGTTTACAGTTTTCAGTTTACAGCTGACAGCTTACTGTTTACTGTTTACTGTTTACAGGCTCATCTTCATCTGGTCGAACATTTCCTTCATTAACAATTCCGTTTTTGTACAGTTTTCTTGTTTTCTTAAATTTCTCTTTTGCTCATTTTCTCCCGATCAGCTTGATGATCTTATGTCTGGTAATCACTGAACTTTCAACGCGATTTGCTTATAATATGCACTCTCTGATTAATTTCACAATATTTTGCATTCAGTTCAGTTAGGTAAAAATACAAAATTGTAAGCAATATGATCTGCGATTTTTGCTAATTTTTTAATTTACAAATCGATTTTGATATAAAACTTGCTGCTAAATCACAAACATATTCAAAAATCGAGGGCAATCTCGACTATACAGTAATAATTATGTAAATCCGTAAAAAAAAAAAGGTTTTCACTCGATGAAAAAAATTAATTTCAATGCCGAACGAACGCTGGAGGTGCCATCATCAACATTTTCACTCTAATTGAAAAACCAGTTTAACAGTTGATTAAAAAAGAGTAATAACAATAATCAGCGTGCTCGAATATGCGGGCGATTATATCACCAAAGTTTAAAAACCGTTGCCAGCTAAAATTGATTGTAACTATCAAAA